TGAGAGATGAATGGGTAAAGAAGATATGGTATGTATGTATGTATATACATACATGTGGTATGTGTGTGTGTGTGTATATACATACATACATACATACACACACAATGGAGTATTACTCGACAATCAAAAGGAATGAAATCTTGCCATTTGGAACTACATGGATGGAACTAAAGGGTATTATGCTAAGTGAAGTTAATCAGAGAAAGACAAATATATAACTTCACATATTCATATGAGGACCTTAAGATACAAAACAGAAGAACATAAGGGAAGGGAAGCAAAAATAATATAAAAACAGGGAGGGGGACAAAACATAAGAGACTCTTAAATATAGAGAACAAACAGAGGGTTGCTGGAGGGGTTGTGGGGGGTGGGGATGGGCTAAATGGGTAAGGGGCATTAAGGAATCTATTCCTGAAATCATTGTTGCACTATATGCTAACTTGGATGTAAGTTAAAAAATACGTAAATTATTTTAAAAATAATAAAAAAAAATTACTATGCTTAAATATGTTGAGGAAGATTTAGGACAGGAGGGATTTGGGCAACGGTGGCATGAAAAAGTTAACGGATCTTCCTCACAAAAATCAAGTATTAAACAGGACAAAATTGTCAAAAGCAACACTTTCAGGTTTCTAGAGACTGACCAAGGACAGACAACAAATTGAGTAGCATTTGTGTGTAGAAATAGTTTCTGATACAACTTTGGTTGGGAACAGTGGAAGTGCCTGACTTCCTGGCAAAGACCATACCCATCACCCTTGCTCTCAAGATATTGGCAAGAATAGGAGTTTGACCAGTGTGGAGCTAACTTGGAAAATCATCAGTGTTTCTCCTATAAGTGATGGACTTGGTTTGAAGAAGATGAAAAAAGACCATTGGTTTGGCAACTAAACGTGGTGAATTCATTTGGAAGCGAACAGGGGAACCCCGCAACTTTGCTAGCCTAAGGTTGCAGCGAGCAGTGAACCGGTAAGAAACGTAACATGAGTCTTGGGGGCACCTGGTGGCTCAGTCAGTTAAGCATCCGGCTTCAGCTTAGGTCATGACCTAGCAGTTCGTGAGTTTGAGCCCCACATCGGGCTCCGTGCTGACAGCTCAGAGCCTGAAGCCTGCTTCTGATTCTATGTCTCCCTCTCTTCTCTGCATCGCCCCCACCACTCATGCTCTATCTCTCTCTTTCAGAAATAAACAAACATTAAAAAAAATTTAAAAAAGGAAATGTAGCATGAGTCTCTGAAAACCAGAGACTTAATAGAAAGACTAGATAAGTTCCTTGCACATCTCTGGCTGACTGAAACATGGTGTAAGATAGACCATACAAATACCATCAGTAGGTAAAAACCAGGGAAACTTGAAAACTGGTTAGCCTTGGAATATTTTCCTCAACCTACACACATGGATTGGTTGAAGAGAGCTATCTGAGCACAACTTCTTCCCGCTTCATCAGCTGACCACTAACCTATGCAGACGTGGGGATGAATACGAGATAGTAAGGCTAAGACATGACAAATTAAAAAAAAAGAAACTGAGCCAGAGACTTTGGCTTCTCATACATAGGAAGAGATGTTGCACAGTGTAAGTCCAACCCTTTATTAAAAAAAAAAATCAGAAAAATTAATCAGAATTCAGCATTGCTACACTCTATTATATAAAATGTCAAATTTACAGGAAAAAAAAAAGAAAAGAACATGCAAAGAGACAAAAAAAGAGTGACACATTGAGAGGGGAGGCAAAAAAACAAACAAACAAACAAACAGAAAGTGACTTAGAATGAGCCCAGATATTGGAGGTGAGGGACAGTCTTTAGAACAGCTATTATAAATATGTTCAAAGAATGAAAGGAAAATATGACAATGACTCAAAAATAGTCTAAAGAAATGAAAACTATTTGAAATGGCAGAAGAATTCGTGAACTTCGAAGGTAGATTGGTAGAAATGATCCATTCTAAAGATTGGAGAGGATTGTTTGACCAGAAACAAACCCTTGAAGACCTGTGGGAAAATATCAAGCTTACGTGGCATGGGAGTTCAGAGATAGATGAGAAAGACAAAGGGTGAGAAAACATATTTCAAAAAATAATGGAACCCCGATTAGCATCAATACATAGAGATCCACAGTAGATACATTATAGTCAAACTGCTCAAAGACAAAACCTTGAGAGCAGCAAGAGAAAAATAGTTCATTACTACAATAAGATTAATTGCTGCTTTTCCAGAGAGAATCAAAGCCAGAAGATAATGGAATGATCTATTGAAAGTGCTAGAAGAAAGAAAAAAAAAAAAGGTCAGTGAATAATTTAGAGTAATTACCCTTCAAAGATAACGATGAAGTAAAAGCATTCTCAGATAAACAAGAATTGAAAGAATTTCTTGCTAACAGACCTATAAGAAATACTAAATGTGGCTCAGTCGGTTAAGCATCCGACTTCAGCTCAGGTTGTGAGCTCATGGTTCATGAGTTTGAACCCCGTGTCAGGCTTACTGCTGTCAGCACAAAGCCCCCTTTGGATCCTCTGTCCCCCTCCCTCTCTGCCCCTCCCTTGCTTGTGCTCTCTTTTTCTCAAAAATAAAGGGTTTAAAAAAGGAAATACTAAATGAATTCCTTCAGACTAAAAGGAGGTAACAAGATAGTAAATCAGTTTTACAAGAAGAAATGGTTCTTATATGAGTAAATATAAAAAGATTTATGTATTTTTTCTTTTTGTTTTAAAAATAATGTTTAGAGCGCTAAGTCTGACACTCTATTTTTGGACTTATTAAATATAAAAATATAAATAACGATAACAGAACAAAGGGGGAGAAAATGAAACTATTTAGAAGCAAATTTGCTAGATTTTGCCAGAATTACGTCAGTATTAACTTGAAGAATATTGTGATGAATTAAGGATGTATATTATCCCTAGGGCAACAGTCAAGAGAATAACACAAATAATAAATTAAAAGTAGAGAAAGGATTCCATACAATTTGACAATAAATTTCATATAAGAAAAAAAACATGTTTAACACAAAAAAAGGCAGTAAAGGAGGAACAGAGGAACACAAATCACATTATATGTGGAAAACAAATAATAAAATGACAGACCTAAATAAGACATCGTTAATAATAGCATTCAATATGTATTGGCAAAAAGATGCTCAATGTCATTAGTCATTAAGGAAATGCAAATCAAAACCACAATGGGATATCACTTCAAACCCACTAGAATGACTCCAAGATAAAAGATACTAAGTTTTGATGAGAATGTGGAGAAGTCAAAACTCCCATGTGCTACTGACAGGAAGGTTAAATGCACCACCATGGAAAACAGTCTGGCAGTTCCTCCAAAGGTACATACCCAAGAAAAATGAAAATATATATCCGTATAAATCTAGGCACAAACATTCATAGTAATGTTATTCATAATAGCCAGAGAGTTGGAAACAACGTAAATTCCATCTGCTGATAAATGGATAAATGTGGTATTTCCATATAATAAAGTATTATTTGGCAATAAAAAAAAATGAGTTCTGATTTGTGCTACAACATGGATGAACCTTAGAAACATTACACTAAATGAAAAAGGCCAGTCACAGAAGACCACTTTTGTATGATTGCATTTATGTAAAATGTCCATCGATAATAAGCAAATCAGTAGAGATACAAAGTAGGCCAAGGATTGCCTGGAGTGGAGGGTAGGGTTGGGTGGGAAGGATGACTGTCCCCAGGTGCTGGCTTTGGTGGACACAGGCAGGTAATGAAAATGCTCTAAAATTAGACTACTGATTAGATTGCTGCACAACTCCTTGAATATGCTAAAAAAAAAAAAAAAGTTACACAGTATAAATGGGTCGATCTTATGGTATGTGATTTATGTCTCAAAGATGTTAGAAAACACGAATTGACTAAAAGTATCAAAAGGCAGAGATTCTAAGACTGGACAAAGCAATAAGATATTATAATATGCAGGTGACGAGACAGATTTTAGATTCAAAGGCACAAACAGATTGCAAATAAAGTATTGGAAACGATACGCCATGCAGATAGTAACCATGAAAGAGTTGGGGTGGCTGTATTGATGTCAGGCAAAATGCACACTAATATGGTGAATATTACTAGAAATAATCTTTGGGACCTTGCGTTAGGCAAAGATTTCTCAGAAACGACACCAACATGAAGGCACCTGGTGGTTCAGTTGGTTGAGCATCCGACTTAGGCTTACGTCACGATCTCACGGTTTGTGAGTTCAAGCCCCACATCAGGCTTTGTACTGACAGCGCAGAGCCTGCTTGGGATTCTCTCTCCCTGCCTCTCCCCTGCTTATGCTGTCTCTCTCTCTCTCTCTCTCTCTCTCTCAAAAATAAAAATTTAAAGAAAAGAAATGACACCAACATGATCCATAAGAAGAGAAATTGATGAATTAGGTTTCATCAAAATTAAAAACGTGTTCTTCAAAAGACACCATTAAAAAATAAAAAGACAAGGCCAAACTATTTCCAAATATGTATAAATCCTATATCTCAGGAAAGACCTGAATCTAATAGGTTTTTTTTTTTTTTTTTTGGATGTGTGTTTATTTTTGAGAGAGGAGAGAGACAGAGTATGAGCCGGGGCGGGGAGGGCAGAGACAGGGGGAGACACAGAACCAAAGCAGGCTCCAGGCTCTGAGCTGTCAACACAGAGCCTGACGCGGGGCTTGAACTCACAAACTACGAGCTCATGACTCGGTTTTAAGCCGATAACTGATCATAGCCACCCAGGCGCCCCAGGAAAGACCTGAATCTAGAATACATAAAGAACTCTAATAACTCATTAATAAAAAGTCAATAATGAGAAGACAAAAACCCAATTAAAAAAAAAAAAACAGAACATTTATGGATGGCTAACAGGCGTGTGAACAGTTGCTCAACAATGGAAGTCTTTAGCAGAATGCAAATTAATGCAATGTGGCTGCTAATGTAGATTTTTGAGTGAGTTTGGCTGAATTCTGGTTTTTCTTTTTCACTGGCACTGATCCAGATATAGGGACCAGAGAAGCGTATCCCCCTTTCCAGAAATTCTCCTGCTGCTTGTAAGGAAGAAGTTTAAGTGCTACTTCCTTTGCCTCCGCCAGGTTGTCACATCCATCGGCGAGCTGGTTGAAGTGTGTTCCACCCAGATCCAGTCAGGATGGAGGTCCTTGTTCAGTGCCCTGGAAACGGTGCACAGTGGGAACAAGTCTGAAGTGAAGGAGTATCTGGTTGGTGATTACTCCATGGGTAAGAACGTGTGTTCGTCTCGTATCCCGAAACTTTACTGAACGCTTTTGTGAGTTCTAAAGTTTGGGGTGGAGTCTTGAGGAGTTTCTAAATAAAATAGACCACGTAATCCACAAACGGGCAATTGTACTTCTTCCTTTCTGATTTGGGGGCATTGTAGTTTATCTTTTCCTGCCTAGTTGCTGTGGGTAGCATTTCCAGTCCTCTGTTAAGTGAGGATAGTGAGAGGGAAGTATATGTGGATGATTCTTGTTATTTTTTTTTTTTAATTTTTTTTTTCAACGTTTATTTATTTTTGGGACAGAGAGAGACAGAGCATGAACGGGGGAGGGGCAGAGAGAGAGGGAGACACAGAATCGGAAACAGGCTCCAGGCTCTGAGCCATCAGCCCAGAGCCCGACGCGGGGCTCAAACTCACGGACCGCGAGATCGTGACCTGGCTGAAGTCGGACGCCTGACCGACTGCGCCACCCAGGCGCCCCTGGATGATTCTTGTTATAAAGCATTAGTTCTTGATGTCAGTTTTCATGCTATCTAAAGAAACAGAGCAATAGGGAAGACCGCCATGCAGCCATGTTTTTCCAGCAGGGAACAGTCTGGTAGAGCAGGGACACACGTTCTGAGTTCTGCCAGCAGGCCAAGAACCCTGAGCATGATGAATCAGGCCCTGCTCTTATGGACAGATTAGACAGAAGACTGGCACTCCTGTTTGTTGTTTCAGTTACACCTATCTGTGTTGAGTTCATTCCTAAAGCCAAAAAGGAAAACATTATTTACTTGCTAGTAAGAAGCAGGAAAGCATCATCATGTAGTAGAATCCCAGTTAAGGAAATTGGGTTTGGCTGGAAATGGATGGGGACCCATAGAGCATGCCCAGCAACCATGGGTATTCTGTCAGTGCGTGGTCCCCAAGACTACTGATACGCTCAGAAACCAACCAGAGGGGTTCATGGGACTCAGCCTATAGTTATACTAAGTCTTGTTGCATGGCTCAGATTTATTACATGGCTCACAGCCGAGATTTATCATGGCAACATACTAAGGACAGGCCAGAGGATCAGAGCAAAAAAAATCAGAGAATCTTGGGACATCCCTGTGCAGGTTTCGTGTGCTCTCTGCCTCCCATGAGGGTCCCACAGAGCATACTCTTCCCCAGTAGTGAAAATGCAGCAACATGAGGCTGTTTCTTCCCAGCAAAGCCCATTAGAGACCCAGCTAAGAGCTGGCCACATGGGTACCCTCTACCTAGCACCCACCAAAATCCCAGACTCCCCAAAGGAAAGCAAGTGTTCGGAATAAACCATGTTGTTTGCACAGTCTAGGCACCGTGAACCACCCTTATCAGTTAACTGTTGCCCGGGAATATTCTGAGAACCCAGTTCCCAGATACCAATCAAGGGAAACTCTTGCAAAGCAGGCCTTCTAAGAATAGCAGTCTCAAGCCTGTGAACTCTTTTCTGCACAGTTATGAGTCAATCAGAATACGCCATCAGGGCTTTTCTAAAACCTTCCCTTCCCTATAATTGTGTGTGCAGGAGAATCCCAGAGGCCCGCATGTTTCACTACCCTGTAGACTCACACATTGCCTCAGCCCTGCATTCAGCTGTTTGCCCTCATCTCTGGTCTACCGAGGTCTTGGTATTTGTAGCCTTCCTGCAGCTCCCCCTGCAGGCAAAGCTGAGAAAGACAGTACTGTGCGCTCCGTCAAAAGGCCAGGGATTTCCTCCAATAGGTCTTTTCCAAGACCCCATGGAAGATGCTGAGAGTACGGACAGCCTGAAGGGTACAGACTTCATTTTCTTACAATTCTACAACCTCCTCCCCTCAGGAAAAGGCCAAGCTCCGGTGTTTGATGTATTTGAAGCTTTTCTCAATACCGACAACATCCAGGTCTTCGCCAATGCAGCCACGAGTTACATCATGTGCCTTATGAAGTTTGTCAAAGGACTGGGTAAGTGGGGTCTTCTTTCCATGCCTCGTGACAGCTGGGGGCCCCGTCCTGGATGACTTTGTGTGGAAGGGCCCGGAGACAGGCCCAAGAACAAGCTTGGCAACAAGCAAGCAAGCAAGCCTGGGCGATATGCAGATGGCAGTGTGCTGTCTACTCAGGAGCAGAAAGCTTACTGTGAAAGCAGCTTGGATTCTGTCCAGGGTTGCTGTCATTCATCGTGTTCACAGGACACTCTTGTAGCACGTTTGCAATCTATGTGTTATTTTGCTCCAACTTCTTTTTGAGTCTCAGAATATTCGGTACTGTGTTCAGTAACTGCCCCGATGCAGGAACTACGATCCTCGATGTCCCATAATTGGCGGCCTCTGCCTGAGTTCCCAGCTCCTCCTAAAAAAAAAAAAAAAAAAAAAAAATCAAGCATGCCTTCCCCTGGGCCTTGCTAATCATAAAATTTCTCTGGAATGTCAAAGTCCCCCTTCTCTGAGGCCTTGTGGGTGTCAGAGTCTACTAAGTTGATTTTCTGCTTAATTTAGCAATACTTTAACAAAGTAGAGTCCTGCTATACAACACGACCTGCTGTAGCAGGTTGCTATGAAGCGCAAGCTACCTGGGATGAGAGGGGAGGGCAGTTAGTTTCTGCCAGCAGTTCCTAAAACCAGAAATTTTAGAAGGAACTTAAATCTTAAAGTTTTGAGAACTTCGCCCTGGAGTGCTCTGAGACATGGAGGCTAAGAACAATTTAAATAAGGGCAATATAAAGTCCATAATATATATATTTTTTTAATTTTTGCTCAATAATTCACAATTCCTTTGCACAAGAAAACTGGACACAGAGAAACGAGGTGACTTCACTCACGCTCCCTTTTTTTTTAGGGACCAGGAACAAAATGCAAGTTTCAGGATAGCGCCTGAAGGCAACAAGTCTGATCTGTAGACCATTGTTGTTGTAGTCTATTATTTATCATATATGCTTTATTCTATTATTACGTACACCCTGGGAAACAGAGGACTGAGCGGAAGGGTAACCATCGCAGCCACTTGCTTCTTGATGTTACAAATTGGGCTTCAGAGGAAGACTTCTTCTGAAGCACAGCATACGATTTTTTTTTTTTAATTCTGCTGTATGTTAAATAGAAGCCAAATAATCTTAATCATAAGAAGAACTTAAAGTATGCATCTTTTATTAGGTAGTAGAAAATTCAGCTTTTGTTTGAGAAAAACTCACTCCTGCGTATCTCCTTTGTTCCCATATGACTACCACACTCCCAATACTGGATGGGGGAAGGGGGCGGCCCCTCACAGCACGTGATACTCTGCGACACCAGCTGGGTGTCCTACAATCCAATTCAATTCTGACACTACCCAGAGTTAGCGCAGACTCCACAGGTCAGGGGCTCAGTCCCCCAAGGCTGCCCCCCACTTCACATGCCCACAGGTTACCCACAACTCTGACTCGGCTACAAATACGAGCTTCCCATAACCCCTGCCCCTTGGATTTGGTTATTTGTTAGAACAACTCACCGAACTCAGGGGAACTCGTGTACCGGTTTATCATATGATGGATATAATAAAAGATACAGGTGAACGGCCAAAGGAGATACATATGGCAAGGTCCACAAGGGTCCCAAACACAGGAGCTTCTGTCCTCATGGAGTTGAGGTGTGCTCCCCTCCCAGCATGTAGATGTGCTCACGAACCCAGAAGATCTCTGAACCCCATGCTTTGGGGATTTTTATGGAGGCTTCATCACGTAGGCATGATAGATCTTTAACTCTGTTTAGGATTTAGGAAGGGGATGTTCTAGTCATGGCTTGATCTTTCTGGTGACCAGTCCACATCCAGGAGCCCACCGGCTGTTGCCTCAATCAGAACAATAGATATTCCTACCACCCAGGAAATTCCAAGGCTGTAGGAGCTCTGTGTCAGGAATTGGAGTCAAAGACCTAATATGAGAACAAAAGATGCTTCTAGTACTCTTGTCACTTGGGAAGTTACAAAGGTTTTAGGAGCGATGTGCCAGGAACCGGGAGCAGAGACCAGTATATGTGTTTGCTATTATGTCACAGTCTTATATTTCATTGAAGAGTCATAATGACTGTTATTCTGTTATTCAGTGAACAGTTGAGTGCCTGCCATGTGGGCACATCTATGTGAAGTTAGAAAGATGAATAAAACATGGGAGAGGTTCCTGCCTGTGAGACGCTCACAGGCTCTTCTAGGAAACCCATATAAATCGATTGTTACAATTCAGTAAGATGAATATTTTCATGGAGGCTACTAAAAAAAAAAGAAGACACGTAAGCTGAAATGAATAAGCCGCTGAGACAGATGTTTGGTAGCGGGGGCTAGGTGCAAGCTTCAAAGGGGAGGTGACATTTGAACTTGGTGGGGTAAGCCATGGGTTTACTTTCCTAAAGACAAAGTACACTGAAGGTACGCACATAAGAGGGATGGTGGGTGATCAGTCAGAAAGAAAGGAAGAGGGCAGTTGTGAAGGGTGCCGCGTGCCAAGTCAAGGAATCCAGAATGTGCGGGGAGGGTTATTAAGTAAAGAGTACTCCAGTCACATGCACGGTTAGGCACTAAACTCTGGCAGGCACATCTCCCCATACGTGGGTGCGAGAAGCTGCGGGCAGGCGGATTGTGGAGAGAATGCAGTTGGCTCTAGCACATGGCAGAGGTGGGGTCTGTAGGGCTTGTCGGGGAGGGGGACCCGAGGATGGCTCCCGTTCCCCACGTTTCATACAAAGGCTGGTGCTGCCCAGAGTTAGGACATTCAAAAGGAGAGCAGGTTAGGTGTGGAGGAGAGGAGAAAGTATTGACATTGGACCTTTGGACCTGTTGAACTTCTGTGAAACTCCACTCGAGGGGAGATGCCTAACAGCGTGTCACAAATGTGAGATTTTCTCTTAAGGAGGGAGTTAAGGGCAGCAAATGGAGATGCAGAATTATCGGGATGCACAAGGAGGATGGTTTTTTCTGTGAATTATAAGGTGGAGTTATTTGTACGGAACATGGAGCCTGGGGGGTACTCAGGGGCCTCCAGTACAGCCCTGCTGGCTGTGGACGGCCCCGGACTCCAGGGGGCGCCACTTGCATAGACTTTGATGTGTACTGCGGCGGCCTTGGTTAAAACCAACAAAAAAAACTTTGGGACGGCTCACTGTGATCAACAGGCTAAGAAACGAACGTTATTTTTAATTCCCGCTTGGCTTATTCAACATGAATTTGCTCTATGCCGTGTTTTCACGTTGTGAAGTGTGTTGATCCAAACCGAGGGTTGGCAAACAATTGGCAAAAAAAAAAAATTATTTTATAAAGTTTATCGGAACACAGCCATGGTCATTTGTCTGTAGCTATTTTTGTGCTTCGACAGTAGATTTGAGAAGGTGTTACAAAAACAAGGGAACCTGCAAAGCCTGAAGTATTTCCTGTCTAACCTGTACAGAAAAGGGTGATCCTTGATCTAAAATACAAGTGTTTATCTCTTCTTTTTAAAGGAGAAACATGCCTCTTTGTCTGAATTTTAACTAATGCCTAGTAATTGGGTCTGTTTACCCCCGGGCAAGGGTGCTAGTTGCTACCCTTGTAGACAATGGGAAACAATTATGGTGTCAGTGGAACAAAGTTACTAAAACTATGTGAATAGATTCATTGCATGAGCAGAATGATAATCCTCGACTAGTATTTTTTTTTTAATTTTTTTTAACGTTTATTTATTTTTGAGACAGAGAGAGACAGAGCATGAACAGGGGAGGGTCAGAGAGAGGAGGGAGACACAGAATCTGAAACAGGCTCCAGGCTCTGATCTGTCAGCACAGAGCCTGACGCGGGGCTCGAACTCACGGACCGTGAAATCATGACCTGAGCGGAAGTCGGCCGCTTAACCGACTGAGCCACCCAGGCGCCCCACGACTAGTATTTACCTATAGAAAATCTAGATGCCCTCTACAGATCTGCGAAATCTCTAGATATATACCACCAAAAAAATAAAAAGAAAGAAAAATCATTTCAACTCAATTCAGTCGTCTCAGTCCCCAAGCCCCAGATGTTTAGATCATCCCAGAGCCTTTATTTATCATCACTATTTAGTGCTGAGCACTGGTAGCCGATGGGTTCTTTTCCAAACAGAGAGAGGCCTGGCGCTTCATTCCAGCCCAACATGTGGCTTGTCGCCAGGATTCTCCTTAATCATCAAGCTTCAGAGTCATACCGACAGCAGCAGGGGCACAGTGAAGTGAGTTACAGGGTGTCCAGGTACAAAACAACAGCGTCCAGCCACCGTGGGTACTGTGGTAGAACCCAGAAAAAGTGTCCATTGCTTACTGAAAAGGAGACTCACAAAATGGAATATTCCCAACAAAATTAGATGCACGCTGTGATCCCAACCGTGTTTAAGATGCACACGTGCAGAGGGGAGAAAGGACTGTCTCCGGGGTTGCAGAGCTTGGGGTAACTTTTTCTGGTTATTTCAGTAGACGTTTATTGAGCGAAGGCCGTGTGACTCAACAGGTCTCCTGTTGAAGGAGGAAGGCGAGAGTAATTTTGTCGATCTCTGTCCGCCAGGGGAAGTGGACTGTAAAGAAATAGGAGACTGTGTCCCAGGACCGGGAGCCACATCCCCAGACCTGTGCCTGCCTGCCCTGGATTACCTCCGGCGCTGCTCTCAGGTACCGGGGGCGGTGCTTGCACGCAGCTCTAGTATAAGTTTTTGTCCCCACCCCTTCCAGGAAGGAAAGGAAGAAAGTAACGGAAATATACTAGAACGCACAACTGAACTGCAGTCTCTGAAACTTCTCATTTACGCTCAGACGCAGGAACCATCCTAATCTCTATGTTTGCGTCAGGCTGTAAGGAAGGGAGTCATGAGGTCACGGGAAGTCCTCACGATAGGACCAGAACATGGATCGTGGGGGTGCGGCCAGTGGAGAGAAACAGAAGCAAAAGCGGGATGCAGTCGGCCAAGATCTAGTGAAGAAATCCCATGCAACAGCGCTCATCCAAGTCAACAGCGACCTTCATTGTGCAAAATCCAGTCACTGCCAATATCTGCGTCCAACGCCGCCGGACCAGAGGATGGTCCCTCCTGAAGCCCTTTCTCCCCCTGCCCCCCCCCCCCCCAGGCTTCAGTGATACCCTGTCTCAGTAGTTGTAGTCCTGTCTTTGCGGGTTCTGTCCCCAGGCCTCTTCTGGACTGTGGAACCTCTCCCATGGTGATAGCAGGTATAGCATGAAGCCCCAGGACTTTAGAAAGGATACCCAGCCCCCGCCTCTTCCCCCAGCTGCCTCCACCAGGCCCCACTCACAACAGAACCGCAGCTACCTTTTCACCCTCAGATGCTTCCTTCTCGCTCTGGGCTCCAACCACACAGATTTTTTGCCCCTCAGATACACGGTGCCTTACCGCTCAGGGCTATCGCCATCTCCTCTGCCTAGAATTTCCCCTCCCTGGAACTCTGTGGGATGCTCCTTCTCTTGATCTCATCAGGAACATCACCTCCTCAGAGAGACCAGAGCTATGAACCAACTCCCTGCCAACATTCCCACATTCCCCGGTCATTCTAATATCACCTAATTGTTCCTATAGCCTTTATGTCTGAAATTATTATTGTAAGACCCCCAGGACAGGAATTTTTTCTCTCTCCCTCACAGCTGTTTTCCTGGCTTCTGGAACAGGACAGGCCCAGCAGGCACAATTCTAATTCATGAGGCTCCAGGGGAGTTTGGCCCAGGAATGCTGATTCCTGGGCGACAGGCTCCATAGCAGTGAGAGGGGAATGTGGAACCCAGGGCAGTCTGTCAGTTCTGCTTCCTCTACCTTCCTCTCTCCCACCTGGCCCACACAATCCTTCGTTCCCCCACTTACTGTTGGCCTCAGTGCCTTGGTGTCGACTGAAGGGAAGGGGAAATCAAAGTCTAGTATCCCGTTTACCTATAGACTCTCTCCTCAGTGAGCCCCATAGAATACTCCCCCCATAGGCAAAAACTCTTGACCTGTTTTGTGGTTCCCTGGGAAGGTTTACAAAAGTCTATACTATTCATAGGCAATTGAGATGCTGAACAAGTATCCCTAGAGTCTTTTTCTCCACCTTTTGGTTTGTACTGAATGCTGTCTCACCTCCTCCATGGGATAGATGCCTCCAAATCCCAACCAACCTTAGAACTTTCATACGTTGAGAGCTTTTCTGGTTTTCCCTAACATGAATATGGCTGGTATATAATTTTATTCTTCATTAACACCCAGAGTGCAGCTTTTTCCAATATATAATTGCATTTGATATTTCATTCTTTAGTTACTGGCCAAAATCTACAAAATGCCGTTGAAGCCAATATTCCTTAGCGGGCGACTCGCTAGCTTGCCTCGAAGACTTCAGGAGCAGTCGGCGAGCAGTGAGGATGGCATTGAGTCAGTCCTGTCTGATTTTGATGACGACACTGGTAAGTTAGTTGACTGGACCGAAATACTTTCATATTCCCAGAAGCTTAAGTCATGAGTTCAGTAACTTACAGATCATAAGAATGATCATCCATTTCTGTTGCTATTGTTTTTAATTCTAATAGAACACGGCCACCTAAAGTTTCCATGGACTCTTTAAAAACATCATTTGATGTCTTGTCTCCAAACCCATCCTTTTTAGTTTCCATCGAAACTCAGTGTGAACAGAGTGCAGCTTCCGCTAAATATAGTTTCTAACTCTGAATTCTCTATAATTTAGTAAATTGGAATGTGGTTGCATTGGTACTTAAATTGGCTGGTAATTGTCTTTAATACCTTCTAGGAAACACAATCATTATATAATTACTTCCTGCAGGACTCTTTGGTTAGAGACTGGGGAAATTAAGCCACTACTGAAGAGAGAATCTCTTTGTGGCTGGTGGAACTGAAGGCTCATTAAAAGAATAATTTCAAAGAATGTGTTTCAAATTAGTTCCCATGTAATTTCCTGAGGATTGGAGTTCAGTCTAGTAACTTGGGGACATTTTCAGATGGGTTAACTCATGCTCACACTTGTCTTCTGAGTCCGTCGACCCTGCCCTGTTCTAGATCTAGACATAGAAATTATGTCCTTAAAGGAGTCTATTATGCATCACAGGTTGTTTCAAACCCTTGCAGAAGGACTTTCGGGGGGAGGTTTTTTACATTTGCTTTTTTATTTGTTTTTAATTTTTGTTTTCTTTTTCTATTATAAATCCACGTATGAGAGCAGTGAGAGGATTGACAGTCTTCCATAGGGATTATAGACACTAAAACCTCACTAGTTTAGAATAGGTGTAAGGAAGAACCATAGGAAAGAATAATGGAGAGGACAGTGAAAATATTGGGAATAGGCTGGGTGTTGCCTGATAGAGGCTTCATTTAATGATTAGTTAAGAATAATTTGTGCTTAGCCTCTTAAAGCTCCAGCCCAGACCATTATAAACAGAAACTAACGTTGTTTATCTATAATATAGTCTTTAAAACAGTTGTACATGGTTTGTGTAGGGTCGTTATCAGGAATCCCCTTTCCATTTGTGCAAACCATTAATCCATTGTTTTTCCTAGGCAGCCCATCTTTGTATGGATAAGTTACCACCAACCACCTCTCTAAAGTTTTCCACGTTATCAATTCATTAGGCCTTTAAAGTTACAACTATATATGAAATATAGCTAGATCAGAGAAAAGAAAGGCAAAGGCTTTAAGTTAGTCTTAAAAATTAATGCATTCTTAGATGCTATTCCTTTGGTTTCCAAGAGCCAAGAATTTCCTTTTTTTGTGTGTGCCTATGGAAATTTCAGACATGGATAAAACTAGACAGAATGGTATAATGAACCTTCATGTACCCATCATCCAGCTTCAACTACTGTATATTTACACACACACACACACACACACACACACCCTCCCTCTGTTCCCTCCGCTTCCTCTGTCTTAGATCAAATCATTATAGCATTTCATCTGAAAATGTTTCAGTATGTGTTCTTCACAGATAACAAACATAACCATTAATTCCATGACCACACCCAAAAATAATAATTCTTTAACATCAAATATCCATTCAGTGTTACCATTTCCTATTTTCTTATGTCAGTTAATTTTCAGGATTCACATAAGATCCACAGTACATGTTTGGCTGATAGGTCTATTAAATCCCTTTCAATCTCTAGATTTTCCTCTTCAGCTCTTTTTCACTCCTTTGCAATTCATTTGTTAGAAGTATGGTCCAGTGTCCCATGGAGTTTTCCATGTGGACTTTATTGGTTATACCCCTTCTAGTGGTGCATAACGTGATTCTGTCCTCTAAACTTCCTGCAAGTTAGCTTGTTCACACCTGCTTACATTTTGAGGTTCATAAGTATTTGTCACCTGATTTTATTTATTGGCCATGGGTTTGGTTTTGCTTCCTATTAATGGGTGTATTCAAAACTTTGGAAGTAATTTTTTCAATGGGAATTTTTTAAAGTTTATTTATTATGAGAGAGCGTGTAAGCATGAGCAGGGGAGGGGCAGAGAGAGAGAGAGAGGGAGAGAGAGAATCACAAGTAGGCTCCATGCTAAGCATGGAGCCCAACAAAGGGCTCAATCCCACAAACTGTGAGATCATGACCTGAGCCAAAATCAAGAGTCAGATTCTCAACTGACCGAGTCACCCAGATGCCCCAATTTAATGGGCATATTTAAAAGCTACCATCGTCTGATACAGTCATATTTCACAGGAAAATTAGAAGTATTAAAATGTAGAGTGGGCTTTTTTTGTATTCTATTTTAGGTCCTTTTGGATTAAGCTAGAGAAACTGAGTCCTTTCTCTGTATCAGTTATCCGATCTGCAGGTTGACGTATTTCCAAAGGCAGTGGTGAACTGGAGTGTTGGCTCAGGTAGTGCTTATGTAAATGGCAAAACTAAAATTATTTCCATCTAATAAAAAGAATCTCATGCTTTTTCCCTTGCCTAGTAGTGCGCAACAATAAATGAACTAAAAATGAAACTGCAGGGGCTCCTGGGTGGCACAGTCCCTTAAGCCTCTGACTTTTGATTTCAACTCAGGTCATGATCTCCGGGTTTGTGAGACTGAGCCCTGCGTTGGGCTCTAAGCTGACAGCACAGAGCCTGCTTGGGACGCTCTGTCTCCCTCTTTCTCTGCCCCTCCCCCACTCTCTTGTGCATGCACATGTTCTTTCTCCAAATAAATAAACATTTTTTAAAAATAAAAAAATAAAAATGAAATCTGAAGAGGAGAGAGAAGAGTTGTGTACTGAGAAGTGTGCTGCCTGCGCTTATGATTCTGTTGATGCCGTGAGCACCGTTCCCTGCCTGTGAGCGATACAGGCAGTGATTTGCGTGGACACAGGACGAGAGAGTGTGAGCAGCACCAAGTGCAATGTGGACACGTAAATTCAAAATGATGTATAGATTGCAAAAAAAAAAAAAAAAAAAAAAAAAAAGAGAGACACTAGGGGATGAATGATAGAAAAGCAAAGAAGATAGACTAGCACACGTACGCAACAAAAGAAAAACATGGATGGCTCAGACTTCACCAAAATTAAAGACTTTTGTGCATCAAAGGACATTATCCAGAAAGTGAAAGGACAGTCGAAAGAATAGAACATATTTGTAAGTCCTATTTCTGATAAGGTTTTAATATCGAGACTCTATAAAGAATTCCTACAACCCAACAAGACAACACAAGTTAAAAATGGGCAAAGGACATGAATTTCTCAAACTATGTAACAAATGGCCGATCAGCGCATGAAAAGATGCTCAGCGTCATTCGTCGTTAGGGAAATCTAAATCAAAACCACAGTGAAGTACCAGTTCACACCTACTAGAATGGCTACAGTTAAAACAAGAGATAAATTAAGCATTGGCAGGGACCTGGAAAAATTGGAACCTTCACGGGAGTATAAAATGGTGTGGCCTTTATGGAAAACAGTCCGGTACTTCTTCAAAAAGCTATACAGAATGACCAGGTGATCCAGGAATTTCTCTCCTGGGTCTAGACCCTAAGGAATTGAGAGACTGAAACAGATGCTTACACTCCCGTGCTCACTGAAGCCTTATTCACCATAGCCAAAGGTGGAAACCACACCTTGTCTCTCGACAGATAGACAAACAAAACATGACACAACACACAGGACAACGTGGACGGACCCTGAACACATTATGCTACGTGAGATAAGCCAGACACAGAAACAAATACTGTATGATTCCGCTTATATGAAATATCCAGAATAGGCACATTCATACAGAAAGTAGAGTAGACTTTTCAGCCTACAGTCTCTCAATTCCTTAGGGTGTAGACCCAGGAGAGAAATTTCTGGGTCATCTGATCATTCTGTTTAGCCTTTTGAAGAAATACCAAACCATTTTTCCATAAAGGCCACACCAGAGGCTAGAGTGAGGGGAGAATGGAAAGTTACCATGTAATGGGTGTAGGTTTTCTGAGATGATGAAAAAGTTTTGGAAATAGGCAGTGGAGACGGTTGCACAAAACCATGCATTTAATTAATATCACTGAATTGTATGCATAATTATGTATAGGGTTAAGGCGGCAAATTTTTGTTATATATTTGTAATTAATTTTTTTTAATTTTTTTTTAACGTTTATTTATTTTTGAGACAGAGAGAGAGCATGAACAGGGGAGGGTCAGAGAGAGCGAGACACAGAATCTGAAACAGGCTCCAGGTTCTGAGCTGTAAGCACAGAGCCCGATGCGGGGCTCGAACCCACGGACCGCGAGATCATGACCTGAGCCGATGTCAGCCGCTTAACCGACTGAGCCACCCAGGCGCCCCTGTAATTAAATAATTTTTTTAAAAAAAGATATACTTAGGGGTACCTGGGTGGCTCAGTCGGTTATGTGTCTGACTTTGGCTCAGGTCCATGATTTCGAGCCCCATGTCAAGATCTGTTCTGACAGCTCAGAGCCTGGAGCTTGCTTCAGATCTTGTGTCTCCCCCCTCTCTCTCTGCCCCTCTCCCACTCATGCTCTCTCTGTCTCTCTCAAAAATAAACATTAAAAACAAATTTTTTTAAAGATATACTTGGGTGATACAAAAGGATATTTTAGTGTTTTGGTACTCTCAGCTCCCCAGAAATCTGACAGTTGTTTCAATATAGTAGAATTTACCATATCACCTTCTTCCTGTAGGGGAATAAGAAGAAATTTGGCGGGTTTCTGCCCTTTGACTTTGTTAGAACATGTAAATCATAATCTGTCCTTGCTTGTGGACACTGCGGGCTACCCCACCGGGCAATGCCTCACATCCACACGGCACATTGCTAAACTAACAATGTTTAGTTTGGTCTTATGATGATTCTGTATTATGGATTTCACAGAGATCTGCTTTCTGGTTTCCAGGGCTGATAGAAGTCTGGATCATCCTGCTGGAGCAGCTAACAGCAGCTGTGTCCAACTGTCCACGTCAGCATCAGCCACCAACCCTGGATTTACTCTTTGAGCTGTTGAGAGATGTTACCAAAACACCTGGTAAGAATTTCTACGTCTGTCTTTTGGGGGGAGTTCTTATGCATGTAACTTTTTTTTAGGAGGGTATTTCTGTGGGTCTGCTTGTTTCACAGCTATATCCCTGGACTCGGTGCAGAGCTCCATGCAAAATAGATGCTCAGTAAATACTTGTTGAATGGCTATGATGCAGTGATGTTTAAGATATGTCCTGTTATTGTTTCCATGTCTTCCCAGCAGTCCCTTTATAAATAATGTGTGCTATCCAGTTAGTTGGAGATGTTGGATTCCCACAATAATCAGGCCAAGGGTATTGGCTTTGCTCTTTTCCAGGATTACAGTCTTCCTCTTTGACCGGATCTTACATGCTCTTGGCCCAGAGCTGTCAGTGGGACTCACTGGGTCTCCAGTGACATAAACAAACCATGTATATATATAAATACATATACATATATACACACATATACATACATATAGATGCAATATTAAGACTGCAAGATCTTTTTATTTTTATTTTAGAGATAGCACATGAGCAGGGGAAAGAAAGGGGCAGAGAAAGAGAATCTTAAGCAGACTCCATGCACAGTGCGGAGGCCAACGCAGGGCTCAATCCCACAACCCTGGGATCGTGACCTGAGCCAAAATCAAGAGTTGGGCGTTCAAGTAACTGAGCCACCCAGGTGCCCCAAGACAGCAAGATCTTAAATGTATAAAGGTCATAGGTGATTAGATTTAGAAAAAGACATTTAGTGGTCACCTGGTACCTTAGTAATACCAGAAAAGAATGGCCCTGAGGGCATTTATTTCTTCTTTTGAATTAATCAAATTTAGCATGTACACTTAGACATGCAAATTTTCCCAAGATCCAAGAAACTAGAAATTTTGGTTTTCACAAACAGAATCAGAACCACAAATGAACCCACTAGTTAATTCCTTAGTAGTAAGAGGAGTTTCATATTTATCATAAACTGATGAAGACTTGATAATCATATATACATTTTGTCTCGCTATTAATTTTGATAATGATGCTTGGTGAAATATATTGAACAGCAAAAAAATTATGAACACCCTACATGGGTTAAGTGAATTCTAGTAAGAGCATATAAATATTCTGCAGACATTAAAATGAGTGTGAATATTTAAAATATATATACTACGGAGTACAATCTCAAATTTATGAAATGTTATGCATTTATAAATATACATGTACATTCAAAAAGACCAGAAGTCAAACATCAAAATGTGATTTATCTCTGTGGGTGAGGTTTTTTTCTTCTTTGGATTCCCATGTGTTTTCTGTTTATTAGAAAAAGGGGAAAAAATAGGATGCCTTAGTTTTATAATCAGACTTTAAAAATCCATCACTTTCACAAGGATTTTCATTATAGCATTGTCTATAAAGCAAAAAATTAGGAACACCTTAAATGTCCATCAGTAAAGGACCGGATAAATAACTGCTGTGTATACAGACCATGGAATGTGGCAGTCAAAATGAGGAATACCTAAATTTGCTAACAACGAATGGTCTCTAACACATGTTAATGTGCTTCTCAGTGTTTCGTGTAGACATATGTACTTACACTTTAGAGGGTATTTTCTTACAAACCTACAGATACATACACACATATCTGGGGACTGGAGTCAATCAGGTGATCCTTTATAGCTTTATCGGTGTTTGAATTTTTTTTTATGAATTTATTCATGTGTCACTTCCATAAGTAAAATCATCAGAAACAAAGAAGAAAAATGCCACCGAAGACCATATATTCCCCAGTCAGTAGTAAGTTCTTTTTCCTTGCAGCTTCTCAGAGGGTAGGGGATGCCCGGGAAAGAGACGGACGATGCCAAGCGATGGCAGGAGCTTCCCTTGCACTACAGGAGAGCTCTGCGATCCCAGTTCTCATGCTGGCTTTTCTCTTCCAGGACCCGGGTTTGGGATCTATGCGGTGGTTCACCTTCTCCTCCCTGTGATGTCCCTTTGGCTCCGTCGTAGCCATAAAGACCATTCGTACTGGGATGTGGCTTCTGCTAATTTCAAGCATGCCATTGGCCTGTCCTGTGAGCTGGTGGTGGAACACATTCAAAGCTTTATACACTCAGGTATCTATGGTGCCACAGCAGTCCATGCTGAGGATTTCTTTTCGTGGCAAGCGTCACCATTTAAATGTGCTTATAAATACCAGGGTATGACTTTTTTTAATTTTTTTAATGTTTATTCATTTACTGAGAGAGAGAGAGAGAGAGAGTGCAAGCAAGGGCGGGGCAAAGGGAGAGGGGGACACAGAATCCGAAGCAGGCTCCAGGCTCTGAGCTATCAGCATAGAGCCCCATGCGGGGCTCGAACTCAACGAACTGCGAGATCATGACCTGAGTCACAGTTGCTTAACCAACTGAACCACCCAGGTGCCCCCCCCCCCCAGTGTATGATTTTTGTCCAGAAATGACAAAAATAGAATTATGTGGTCAGGGCCAACCTTCTCATAGTAGATGATGAAAATGAAAATTGATACTTGCAGTACATATGTGACTAAAAATAAAATTCCATCTAGTATGTCTATGCATGAGGAGAGGGGAGGCAAGTTCAAATATATAATGAATACATTAAAAAAGTGACGGGTGTATATCTTCCTGCTTCATCTGGGGAGGCTAAATGGAGGAGATAAGATTTTAGAACCGGCCTAAATTATAGGCAAGAAGTTGTTTAAGAGGGTAGGGGGTAAGGTGTCTTCATATCTGTGGCACTTTGAAAAAGATCTCAAAGTATGTGGTAGATAATATATTGAAGCAGGAACTAGAGGCAAGGGAAATAGGTCAGCTGTGGTACTAGGGGAGCACCATTTGTGAAATCTACATTCTTGCTCATGGTTCTTCATAGGAAGAGTTGGAAGTTTGAGAACAGAAGAAGAATCGCCGTTAACTCTAGAAGTTTTCATTCTGTATGCCGGGGCGCCTAAGTGGCTCAGTCGGTTAAGCGTCCAACTCTTGATCTCAGCTCAGGTCACGATCTCAAGGTTCATGAGATCGAGCCCCGCATCCAGCTCTGCACTGACCATGTGGAACCTGCTCAGGATTCTCTCTCCCCTTCTCTCCCAGCCCCTCCCCACCTCAAAAGAAGCACTAAAAAATAATAATTCTACAGGCCTTTCTCTTTTCTTTATAAAGGGAGAGGTGAGGTAAGAGACTCCCTTGTTAGAGACATTAGAAAATCTGCTGAGACAGTCACCCCAAGGGAGAGTCTAAAAGCAAAGATAAGAAGTGGGTAGCTGCACTAAGTTGAAGGACCATTTGCCCCACAAAAAAGAACGTCAATCGCGAAAGAAAACTAGTGGATTTTTCCACGTGTAAGCGATAACTGTCCCTAGGGGTAGATGTTCTCATCTAGATCATTGTTTTTGCACGGCCCAGAACCTTTGATGATCCTACTGAAAATGGAATCTGTGGCATCACAAGGACTCTGAGGGAAAATAATACAGATGTATTCCCTTGAATTGGACAAATAGAATGACTTGGGGAAGTCTCACCTTTGGTCTGGGGATAGTGTGCCAGACTGAAAAGTTCAAGAAGTGGTAAGACAAGAGAGGTCTTGTTTGCTGAGAGCATTGAATTCAATTTAGTCTATCAGCAATAAGGAATATATATGTTTCATTTTTCTCTTTTTTGTTTTTTTAAGAATTTAAATTTTTTGCTAGCCACTCTTCAGGCTGTAGATGCTGTATTCCGCCTAATAGTAATAAATTAGTAAAGTAGGTGAATTATACGCTTAACTTTGAATGCACACCGACACATGAAAGCAAACCACATATATTTCATCTTGAAATGGATAATACAAGCTAAAATTGAGTTTAAAAAAAATCCAAGAAAATTACTTTTCTCACAGATGTTTATAGGACTTCCTCCTTTCGCTGCAGATGCCATTTCAACCCCCTCCTTTACTGAGTGAAATCGTGGTCTTGCTTTTCCCTGTAGACATCAGGTATGAGAGCATGATCAACACGATGCTGAAGGACCTGTTTGAGTTACTGGTGGCGTGTGTGGCCAAGCCCACAGAGACCATCTCCAGGGTGGGCTGCTCCTGTATTAGGTGAGAAAAAGATTCCCTGGCGCTCCACAAAATTAAGAGTTTTTATTATAAAATCCAAGGAAATTAGATTGCTTTCTGTAGGTAAAAATGACTATATAGGTGTGTGTGTGTGTGTGTGTGTGTGTATATATTATTAGCATATATAGGTGTGTGTACATATATATATTATTAGCATATATAGGTATGTGTGTATATATATATACACATACATACACACACACACACCTATATACGCTAATAATTCCTCATTTCGTGTTTAATCAGCAAACATTTATCGTCTTAGGCATTATACGAGGTATTCTGCTGGGTAAGAAGTCAAGATCCCTACCCTCAAGAGGCTTATAGCCTTTTCTAAAGGACATAACAAAGAGAGACCCATGAAAAATGATAATAGTAAAGACTTATCCTCCATGCCAAGAAGGGACAGGAGGGCCGGGGAGCAGGGTGGTCAGCAAGGGCTTTTCGTATTAATGACACTTGGTCAGATCCCTGAGGTCGGTAAGCTTTTGATCGGTGGGGACTCACAAGCAGAGCATCACAAACATGAGCACAGAGATCAGAGTTACCAGTGACGGGGGCGGGGGCAGAGGGGGGTGAGTTTGGTTGTCCTTTGTAGAGGAGTGGCGGAAAATGGAGCTAGAATGGAAAACCTAGCACAGAATATATACAGTCTTGCATGCAAGCCTAAACATTGCCCTATTTACACTGGGGACCCGTTGACATTTCTAAAGTCAAATGCTTTAGGAACAGTGTTAGGACGATGGAACGTCACAGGCGGAAGCCAGGAGTGATGAGAGGCAGTGAGACCTGCTATGGAAGCTATGGAATAAATCTGTGCACGTGTCTGTAAGTACTTACACCGTGTGATGACAAACATACAGATTCAGGATCTCCTTGTTTCCCTGGGCAGGTATGTCCTCGTCACGGCGGGCCCCGTGTTCACCGAGGAGATGTGGAGGCTCGCGTGCTGTGCCCTGCAGGACGCGTTCTCCGCCACGCTCAAGCCGGTGAAGGTAAAGTGTGGGCAGGAGGAGCCCGAGCAGGGGCCAGCCTTCCTTTGCCCCCTCCCCCTGTCAGGTCGGGCACCCGGATTCTGCCCTCCTCCCCTTAGCAGGCTGTCTCACCCGCAGTCCTGCAGAGGGGGAGAGAGAAGTTGTCGGATCAGTGCTTCCGTCCCGGACGCAGGGACAGTGTCAGCTCCGGGACGGGGCCTGGACGCACCCAGGGAACGTCTGCTGTGTTTCTCCCTAGGATCTGCTGGGCTGCTTCCACAGCGGCACGGAGAGCTTCAGTGGGGAAGGCTGCCAGGTGAGGGTGGCGGCCCCCTCCTCCTCCCCCAGTGCGGAGGCCGAGTACTGGCGCATTCGAGCCATGGCTCAGCAGGTAAGGACTGGGGCTTGTGATCCCAGGGGCTGCTAGATGCTGGGACTAGGGCTTGTGATCCTAGAAGCCTCTTCCTGATGCTCTCACATCACCAGACTGCTTTCCACTCCCTTAGGGACGTACACGTCGTTCCTCTGCGCCTGGTCCGTACCGTCCTTTAAGAGGAATGACTAACCCAGTCAACAGCATTAGGATTGTCTCTACTGTCTCTCGCTTGTTGCGTCCTCCAGTGCCCAGATCAGATAGAGTCCTTTTTCTGACTGGCCGCTTCCACTTCATACACCACTTGCCTTGCTTGGACTGCTTAGATTATCTGTATTTGCTTAAATATTGATGTTACTGCCAGACTATGAGTGCCTAAGGATGGCACTTACAAGTTGCATAATTTGCAGACTCACAGTTCAGTTGACTATAACTGAGAAGTGAAATTAACATATACTTACTCATGCAGGGATCACCATGTACCAATGACTTTTTCTTCTGGCAGATGTCAAAGAACTCACGAAAGTTGGTTGTAGAGCTCCTGAGGAGCAGAGAGCACGTTCTGTGTATTCGCCCTAGAGCAGGGCATATAGAAGGCTCTTGGTAAATGTCTGCTGACTCAGGGAGTTAACTGAATCACAAAAGGCCTTCCAGCATTAGCACTGGCTACAGATATGCCCCCAAACACTTGAGCAACACGTCAGTCTACCTCCAAGAAACCCTGCATGGGCTTCCAGCAGTAATTAAGCCCTGTTCCTAAATTTACATATATTCATAATAGTGAGTGGGTATGGGGAATACAGTCTCATGTAATGGCAACAGATATATATGAATTATGTCTTCATATACAGAAGGTATTTTGCATATACATGTGTGGTATGTTTGAAATATTAAGCAGTTGTGGGGCACCTGGGTGGCTCAGTAGGTTGAGGATCTGACTCTTGATTTCGTCTCAGGTCATGATCCCAGTGTCACGGAATCAAGCCCCATGTCGGGCTCCATGCTGAGTATGGAGCCTGCTTAAGATTCTCTCTCTTTATCCCTCTGCCCCACGCATACTCTCTGTCTCAAATAAAAAATAAATAAAATTAAGCAATTTTTATAAATGTATATGCAATGTCAGATTCAATCATTGAATAAATACGTTCTAATTACTTAGAAAAATAAAGTGAATTAGGGGTGTTATTCAGAGGCTCTCTTTAAGATCTGTTCAAATTCTTAATAAAATCTCCCCTTAGTACATTAATAATCCAGGATACCCCGATTATCAGTTGAGAAGTTTCCAGGCTAGGCCTGGTTTCTAAAGGGCTTTCCCCAGCACTCCTCACATAGTGGGACCACCTTCCACCTCCCGCTTCTCCCATCATCTGCCATCAACACTCGTGATATCTCAGGCCGTGACGGTTGTACTGTTCTGAAGGGAGAAAGCACATCCCTCTGAAGCATCCATGGCCCGTCCGCAGAGGCTGGAACAGAAGAAAGGTCCTAAGGCTGCAGCGAAGAACCACTAACATCCGCATGGCTGTTGTGGACAGCTGCAGCATTAAGGCACTGTAACAGAGAAGCCCAGAGGGTGGTCCTCTGATGGGATAACTTGTCTAATGGGACATCATTACACCGCTAGATACAGATGTTTCCCACGTGCCTCCTGTGTCCACCCTTCAGATAACCCAGAGAATCTGATAAGAAACTTTTCCCTTCTAAATTGTGTAAACAAAGGAAAAGTTTCTTAAGACTATTTCTATTTCCAAAGGGAGGTAGCGAAGGTCTGTGAAGTCATGTGAAATGAGATCACGGAGGTCAGGACTGGGAAGCGGTTGCTATCTTCTTAGTCACTTCTCCCACCTTCTGGTAGAATTGCAGGTCCACGTTAGTAGTCCCGACAGGAGGTCCTAATTAAATTCTCATTCCTGTGTTGGATAGAATATAACTGACATCAAAATCAGATTTTTTTTTTTTTCACCAACACAGCCCCTCTTTACGTGCTCGTAATTAACCTTAAATAGCAGCACTTGCTACTTGGAGTGTAATGAACTGTCACATGATAAAGGTAGTGAGTAGTGTTAGCGTCAGCCGCTAACTTCTGAATATTTACTGTTCCAACATTATGTGTATGTAATGTACACATATTAATTCTCTCAGCAAACACACCAGGTAGGAAACCTCAATATCAACCTTATTTTATAGGTGAGAAAATGAGTAGAAAGAATAAGCCACTTACCCAGGGCCACCCAGCTAATCCCTGGTGGAGTCAGGTCGAGGATGATGGGGCTCTGAACTGTACCTTTGCATGTCTTCGCAGGTGTTTATGTTGGACACCCAGTGCTCACCAAAGACTCCAAACAACTTCGACCACGCTCAGTCCTGTCAGCTCATTATTGAGCTGCCTCCCGATGAGAAGCCAAATGGACATACCAAGAAAAGGTAAGCAGCTAACCAGCCTAAACATGTGGGGAACTTAGGACGAGCAGAGCTCATTTATTTCCCGTTCTGGCTCATTGTAGTCCAAGCTTTGGCTGAGAAGACTGGAAACAGTCACAGAGTCCTCTAGCCAAGGTTTTCGCAGAAAATTGTTCACCTCTCCACCAAAGTTTCCACATTTCACATGTACTAATTTGCTAGGGCTGCGATAACAAAGTACCGCCGACTTGGGTGCCTAAACAGAATAACAGAACTGTATTTGCTCACGGTTCTGGGGCCTAGAAGCCCAAGATCAAGGTGTGGGCAGGGTCAGTTTCTTCTGAGCCCTCTCTTCTTGGCTTCTGGATGGATACCTTCTCCCTGTGTCTTCACGTGGTCTTTCTTCTGTGTATGTCTGTGTCCTAATCTCTTCTTATAAGGACACCAGTCATAATGGATTAGGGTCTACCTGATTAATTTTCAGGACCTTATCTCCAAATACAGTCACACTGTGGTACTGTGGGTTCAGATGTCAACATATGAGTGGTGTTGGTGGGGACACGACTCAGTGTGTTTTTAGGACTATATTACACCCTTTTTTTAAAGAAAATTGTAACGTGAGGCATGATTTATATTATTTCAGGGAGAAATACGTCAACTTCTTAAGAGCAAGACAGCTGTCAGGAGACAGAAAGATCTCTGCCCTGCCCCAAGAACCTTGCCTTTTTTAAATACTATCATTTTGCCTGAAAACTATTGTTCCTAGACTTGAAGGAGAATAGCCATGACTGAAATTTCCATTTTTAAACTTCCGACACAGGAATGGTAATGATGATAAGTGTTTGAGCACTATATGTGGAATACAGTGGCTAGGTATTTCCACTCCCGTTTTATCCACGAGGAAACATTCAGAGAGGCTGGGCCACCTACCCAGGGACATAGCAAAAGGGTGGAGCCACTTTGCCTTCTTGGATTTGACTCTTACTACAGACCTTAACTTAGCACAGGACGGAGAGCAAGAGGAGTTAGACCTAAAAAAAGTTCATTTATATGCCGTCCAGTGCATCCTCAGAGGTCCATATTGAAATCACCCATGGAAATAAATTTTAAAAAAAAAGACCTAAATCAAATTCAGATTATAATATGAATAAAGAGAAATCTGGGTGCAGTTTTTAAATCACTTGGGCATCGATAGTCCCTGAGCTTTACACAACCCACCTAATGTGAGAGCTTTAAGAAGTAGTACTTCAGGAATCTGTTTATCGCTGATACTGACATTAGCGTGTTTTAAGTCAGCCACTTGTTATGCAATTAACTCAAGGAGGAGAACTTTCCTTTGCACTTGGCATCTGAACACTTCACGGTCCCCTCCTTTTTTTTTTTTTTTTTCAACGTTTATTTATTTTTGGGACAGAGAGAGACAGAGCATGAACGGGGGAGGGGCAGAGAGAGAGGGAGACACAGAATCGGAAACAGGCTCCAGGCTCCGAGCCATCAGCCCAGAGCCTGACGCGGGGCTCGAACTCACGGACCGCGAGATCATGACCTGGCTGAAGTCGGATGCTTAACCGACTGCGCCACCCAGGCGCCCCCACGGTCCCCTCCTTTAAAGGGTATGCTATATGCTGAGCAAAAGGTTGAAACGCTTGGGTAGGACAAATTGAAAAATCATCTATGGATTTTTGTTTGCTCTGGGTCTTTTTAAAAAGATGATTAAGAGTTGCATATCTGTAAATAGTTATGTCGTTTTGATATCTTTCTGAAATTTTGATCTCCTCAGTATTGTTGCTGCCACTTTGTTTTCTTATTGCTACATCAGTCAGCTTGAACCTAAAAGGGATTTTCTGTTCTTTTTACACGCACACTTAGCCATTTTATATCCTAAAGCATCAAAAGGGGCATCTCGGTTGGTAAAGATCCTCCAGAACTCAAACATGGCCTTGCGTCAACCCTCTTTTTAAGTGTTTGCTGGTGAAGGGTTTCCCAGTTCTCAGGGAAGGTGATAGATCATGTCCTCTGGGCTATGGTGTTTATACCTTCAGAAGGTTGATCAAACTCACCCCTCTGGTTGTGGTTCCTGCTTCAGGAGTCCAGGCTGCCAGGGCCCTGGGGTTGGAGCATCAGAGCCATTTCTCAGGGAGAACATTTTGTCCTGGCAGTGATGTGTTCAGGCACCTGCACCTAGAACCGATAAGTTTTGGTTACTCGGTTCGTCTTGGATACTTACTGAGTGCTCCTCTCCCCAGACATTTTCCCAGGCCCTGGGGACACAGCTGACTAAAATACTGCCCTGGACCTTGGGGACTTTAGAGTGTGGTGAAGAAGACAGACAAGGAAGGGTATAGACTTGAGTAATTGGTGACAGGACTTCCCTTATAGTTAGTGTCCTTTAGTTGTAGACACAAAGTATTAGACCAATTTGGTGGCTTTTCGGGCCCTCTTCTTCGGAAAAATGCATATTCGGGGTTCCTATACCTTCAATAAATTATCAGGCGGAGGACAAAAAATTAAAAATTAATTAGCTAACTTATCAAAAGGGGGAATGGAGAGTTACTGTGCAGTAAGTATTGAGTTTGAGATGAAAAAGTTCTAGAAATAGCGGTGACCGTTACCCAACATTGTGCACGTACTTAATGCCACCGAATTGTACTTTTTAAGATGGCCAAAATAGCAACTTTGTGTCATGTGCGCTTAACCACCAAAACAATTACTTAAGTGACTCGTTAGAAAGGGTGACGAGGGGCGCCTGGGTGGCGCAGTCGGTTAAGCGTCCGACTTCAGCCAGGTCACGATCTCGCGGTCCGGGAGTTCGAGCCCCGCGTCAGGCTCTGGGCTGATGGCTCAGAGCCTGGAGCCTGTTTCTGTTTCTGTGTCTCCCTCTCTCTCTGCCCCTCCCCCATTCATGCTCTGTCTCTCTCTGTCCCAAAAAATAAATAAACGTTGAAAAAAAAAAAAATTAAAAAAAAAAAAGGGTGACGGTTCTTCGCTGCTCATTCTTTCCATCTTTGCTGAGCATATGGTGTTCCCTCAGTGTTCCACTGCACAAAGGGCAGGGTCAGCCTTTCAATGTACAGAAGCATTTGTGTTCCTTTCTGTTACAAAAAAAAAAAAAAAGTAATTTTTACATGCAAGGTCATAACTAGACATACTAACGTAATGGTTGGATTTTTGAAATAAACATTATTAATAAGAGTTGCCGTCTTGCTATAATTATCCCATCACGGGAATCAGTTTGCAACATAATGGCATAAGCTATTTGCGTGGAGTTCTTAAGAGCAATGAAAAGAATGTGAAACCACAAGCCACGTGGGGGAATTAAAATTTTCAGCTGAAGGTAGTACCTGGAATTGAAATTGTTTTCTTAGTATAAGAATGCAACCAAACAGAAGAGGCCACATCGCCAAAGGGCATTTCTAAACCTTCCTTATATGTGGGCTGTGCCCTGATAAGGACGAGGAGGAAGTTGTCCTCGTGACTGATGGGTTGTGCCCGCTTCTCAACCAGGAGGCCTGGCTAGATGTCTAGGGAGGATTCGCCCCACCCCACATAGCTGACACGAGGGGTATCTCCGTGGATCCAAAAGAGCATTCGGGGCCCGCAAAGGAGTCCCCTGGCCATGCTGGTGGGAGAGGACACAAAAGAGAATTGCGTGTATTGAGTGAATGCTGCTTTCTCTCCTCAATTTGGCTTACAAAGCTTGAGTTAAAGTACCTCTTTCTTCATGCTGCACATGTTTGGTTCTTCTCCATCTCACGTGTTGGCAGCACTGGAGTTTTTACACATAGGCACCTAGAGCATTAACAGTTAATCCTGGTAAGCAAGTGTGGTCCCTAGAAAGCCAGGCTTCAGTGAGATTGCTGCCGTCTTGGAGTTTGAGAAAAAAAGCCAAAGGGCAGAGGAGAAAGCCGATTAAAATGCAGACAATTGACCAGAAATTGTTACTTTCTGGTTTGACACTTCATGTAGCTACACTTCATGTAGCTATGAAGGAAATAAAATGCCTGTATTTAATAGTTTTTATGATACATTAATATTATAGCTCCTAGATTTTTAAAAAAGTATCAGCAATCCCAGTAATCATGGTGAAAATGGTTACCACGTAATGCCCCTTCTTAAAGGAAGGCATTAAACTACAAGTAAGTTTATCATTTCACCCGCGTCGTTCCAAAACGTGCAACATCCCAATCGCTTTAAAGAACCTCACGTTCGGCCGAACGAAGACTACTGATCAATCCCTCTCTTTTCGTTTGAAGCGTTTCTTTCAGGGAAATTGTGGTGAGCCTGCTCTCGCATCAAGTGTTGCTCCAGAACTTGTACGACATCTTGTTAGAAGAGTTCGTCAAGGGCCCCTCCCCCGGGGAGGAGAAGACGGTCCAGGTGCCCGAGGCCAAGCTGGCCGGCTTCCTCAGGTACATCTCCATGCAGAACTTGGCGGTCATCTTCGACCTGCTGCTGGACTCGTACAGGACGGCGAGAGAGTTCGACACCAGCCCTGGGCTGAAGTGCCTGCTGAAGAAGGTGTCTGGGATCGGAGGCGCTGCCAACCTCTACCGCCAGTCCGCGATGAGTTTTAACATTTACTTCCACGCGCTCGTCTGCGCGGTCCTCACCAACCAAGAAACCATCACGGCCGAGCAAGTGAAGAAAGTCCTTTTCGAGGACGACGAGAGAAGCACGGACTCCTCCCAGCAGTGCTCTTCAGAAGACGAAGACATTTTTGAGGAGACGGCCCAGGTGAGCCCCCCGAGAGGCAAGGAGAAGAGGCAGTGGAGGGCCCGGATGCCGTCGCTAAGTGTCCAGCCCATCAGCAACGCGGACTGGGTGTGGCTGGTCAAGAGGCTGCACCAGCTGTGCATGGAGCTGTCCACCAACTACATCCAGATGCACCTGGACCTGGAGAACAGCATGGAGGAGGCTCCCATCTTCAAGAGTGACCCGTTCTTCATCCTTCCGTCCTTCCAGTCGGAGTCCTCCACCCCATCCACCGGGGGGTTCTCGGGGAAAGACACGCCTTCTGAGGACGACCGGAGCCAGACGCGGGATCACGCCGGCGAGCCGGGGAGCCTGCGGGCCGGCAGCGGGGACATGCTGCTGCCCCCCAGCCCCAAGGTGGAGAAGAAGGATCCCAGCCGGAAGAAAGAATGGTGGGAGAACGCGGGGAACAGAATCTACACCATGGCGGCCGACAAAACCATTTCCAAGTTGATGACTGAATACAAAAAGAGGAAACAGCAGCATAACCTGCCCACGTTCCCCAAAGAGGGCAAAGCGGAGAAGAAGGGCGAGCCGCTGGGTCCACGGGGCCAGGACTCCCCGCTGCTTCAGCGTCCCCAGCACTTGGTAGACCAAGGGCAGATGCGGCATTCCTTCAGCGCGGGCCCTGAGCTCCTGCGACAGGAGAAGAGGCCCCGCTCTGGCTCCACCGGGAGCTCCCTGAGTGTGTCCGGGAGGGACGCCGAGGCACAGATCCAGGTGGGTTCCTGCCAGCCCCAGGCTGCGGGGAGGCGCGCCTGGCAGCGCAAGAGGGAGGCTGGGTCCCCCGTGACAGCGCAGACACGTCCCCCTTACAGAACACTCATACGCATTCTGAGAGTTGACCGTTTCCCTCCAAAGTCAGAGGATGGCCTGAGCCTAAGACGCAGCATCTGTCTGCGTCACTCTATCTGTGTGAAACTGAAATTTGATTCTTAGATAATTTCAGGGATGGTTTTATGGGTTCCAAGAGATATTATTGAGAATCTGGAGCTCACTCGGATAAATGAGATGAAGCTAAAGCTTCTAAAGTGAACATACCTTCTCTGGCATGGAGTCCCGAGTGTGTCTGAAGATGCCCTGAGGAAATATGTAAAGGACACAGGCAGAACACGCGTTATTATGTGGTCCTACCAATGAACTGTTTTGGTCCCAAGTTTTGCTAGCCCCTTCTGAGCACCCAAAACTTCTCACTCCTTAGAGGGCTCGGAGCGTTCCTTTTCCTTTATATAGTTAATGTTTGTAATTCCGTGGGGGCATCAACAGCCCAGCCTGAGAAGAAAACGGTGGCGGTAGTGTTTGTTCAGTTTAGGAACTGATGAGATGGGGAAAGAGAAATGGAATCTAGAGTGAGCAGGGGCCCTTTCAAAATACTCTGGGCGCTTAGATTGCGGGCCCCTGTTGCAGGCATAAGTTAGAAGATCTTCGATCTTAGGATTCTATGAACCTACACATAACTGTATTCTTAGGACGAACATAAATTTGGACTTAGCATGAATCTTGCAAGATGCCTCTTTTTCCTCTAAAGTATTTTGAACATAGTGCTAAACTTTAGAACCCACAAAAATCATCTTTGACTGGACTTCTGCTAATCTAGTCTAACAGAGACGTATGGTAGTCCTATTCCAGTTTGCTAGGCATTATAGAGACTGATAATTTAACGTGTCTTCATAAGGGGCGCCTCGGTGACTCAGTGGGTTAAGCATCCGACTTTGGCTCAGGTCATGATCTCACGGTTCATGGGTTCAAGCCCCACATCGGGCTCTGCGCTGCCGGCTCAGAGCCTGGAGCCCGCTTCAGATTCTGTCTCCCTCTCTGCCCCTCTCCTCCCTTCTCTCTCTCTCCTCCTCCTCACAAAAATAAAATAAATAAAGTTTCTTCATTATGAGAAGGCGAGAGAGTTTTTAAAAATATGAGGAATAAATAAGATTTTGGTACAGGCATACCTTGGAGATATTGCAGGTTTGGCTCCAGACCACTGCAATAAAGCAAATATCAAAGCATATCAAATGAAGTTTTTGATTTCCCCGTGCATATAAAAGTTTTCACACTATACTGTAGTCTATAAAGTGTACAATAGCATTATATCTAAAAATATATATACACATACCTTAATTTTAAAAATACTTCATTGCTAAAACTCATCTGAGTTTTTAACACGTCATAATCTTTTTGCTGGTGGAGGGTCTTGCCTCCATGTTGGTGGCTGCTGACTCATCGGGGTGGTGGCTGCTGAAGGCTGGGGTGGCTGTGGCGCTTTCTTAAAATAAGGCGACAATAAAGGTCGCTGCATTGACTGTTTGACATATTATTTCTCTGTAGCGTGCAATGCTGTTTGATAGCATTGGACCCACACTAGAACTGCTTTCAAAATGGGAATCCATGCACTCAAACACTGCCACTGCTCCATCAACTCAGTGTATGTAATCTTCTAAATCCTCTGTTGTCATTTCAATAGTCTTCCCCAGGAGTAGATTCCATCTCAAGCAACCACTTTCTTTGCTCATCCCTAAGAAGCAACCCCTCATCCATTCAGGTTTGATCATGAGATGGCAGCAATCCAGGCCCATTTTCCGGCTCTGCTTCTAATTCTTGAGCTGTTTCCCCCACACCGCAGTTACTTCCTCCACGGAGTCCTGAACCCCTCAGAGTCCTGCATGAGTGTTGGAATCAAGTTCTTCCACGCTTCCGTTCATGTCGATGTTCTGACCTCTTCCCATGAATCATGAATGTTGTTAACAGTATCTAGAACAGTGAATACTTTCCAGGTCTTCAATCTACTTTGCCCAGATCCAGCAGAGGAATCACTGTAACAGCTCGAGCCTTATGAAATGCATTTCTTAAATAATGAAAGTATTTAATTCTTAAATAATTGAAAGTAGAAATGGACTGCGGAATGGCTGTTGTGTTAGCAGGCATGAGAACAGCGTGAATCTCATTGTACATCTCCATCAGAGCTCGTGGGTGACCAGGTGCATTGTCAACAGGCAGTAATATTTTGAAAGGAATCCTTTTCTCTGAGTAGCAGTTCTCAATAGTAGGTTTAAAATATTCAGTGAGCCATGGGTAAACATGTGCTGTCATCCAGGTTTTGCTGTTTCATTTATGGAGCACAGAGTAGATACGGCATAATTCTTAAGGGTTCTAGGATTTTGAGAATAGTAAATGAGCAGTGGCTTTAACTTAAAGTCACCAGCTGCATTAGCCCCTAACTAGAGAGTCAGCCGGCCCTTGGAACCCAGGTACTGACTTCCCTCTAGCTATGAAAGTCCTAGATGGCATCTTTTTCCAATAGAAGGCTGTTTCATCTGCATTGAAAATCTGTTTAGTGTAACCGCCTTCATCACTTATCTCAGCAGATCTTCTGGAAAACTTGCTGCAGCTTCCAGTCAATACTTTCGATTAGGGAAACAGCTTCTTTCCTTAAGCCCCATGAACCCACCTCTGCGAGCTTCAAACTTTTCTTCTCCAGCTTCCTCACCTCTCTCAGCCTTCACAGAATGGAAGAGAGTTAGGGTCTCGCTCTGGATTAGGCTTTGGCTGAAGGGAATGTTGGGGCTGGTTTGATCTTCTATCCAGACCCCTCGAACTTTCTGCTTGTCAGCACTAAGGTTGTTTTTCTTATCATGTGTGTGTTCACTGGAGTCACACTTTTAATTTCCTTCAGGAACTTTCCCTTTGCGTTCACAGCTTGGCTAACTTAGGCTGGAAGCTAGGCTTTTGTGCCAGTCTCGGCTTCCAACACGCCTCCCTCGCTAAGCATAATCATTTCTGGCTTTTGATTGAAAGTGAGAGACCTGTGACTCTTCCTTTCACTTGAACGCTTAAAGGTCAATGTAGGCTTATTCGTTGGCCTAACTTCAATATTGTTGGGTCTCAGGGAATAGGGAGGCCCAAGGAGAGGGACGGGCGAAGGGCTGATCAGTGGGGCAGTCAGAGCACACATGTTTATCAATGAAGTTCACCATCTTATATAGGCACAATTCATGGCACCCAAACCAGTTATAATAGTAATATCACAGATCACCCAAACAAATACAATAATTCAAAAGTTTGAAATATTGTGAGAATTACCAAAATGTGACACAGAGACACAAAGTAAGCAAATGAAAACACAAACAAAAAACCCACTATCTGGGAAGCCCAGTAAAAGCAAACTGCAATAAAATGAGTTATGCCTCTAGCCTACAAAAGCTGAAAATCAGGTATTCCTAATGTCAGAGGAGTCTCTGCTATTCCTTGTATGGATGAACTCAAAATGACAATTTCTAGTCGCTACATTCAATTAGTAAAGACAGATTTATTGCAGCCCAAAGACAGAAAACTCATTCGCACCCTGGCAGGGCTTAGCCACACCTGAGAGTTCAGCTGAACCCAGAGGAGAAAGCGGCTAATTCCCCCAAATCCTTTCTCTTAGGCATGGACCAACATGATGCTAACAGTTCTCAACCAGATTCAGATCCTTCCAGACCAGACCTTCACGGCTCTCCAGCCTGCAGTGTTCCCGTGCATCAGCCAGCTGACCTGTCACGTGACCGACATCCGCGTGCGCCAGGCCGTGAGAGAATGGCTGGGCAGAGTGGGCCGGGTCTACGACATCATCGTGTAGACGACTCACTTTGAGGAAGTTCAGCAGCAAGGGTTAGAGAGTGCCTGCCAGTCTGACTGATCGCGTTATCCCCACCACCAGCCCCACCAAAACAAGTGTCTCAGAGAACAATCTGTTGCTCCCTAACACTGGGGCCAACCTGGGCACTAACCTTGTATCTGGATGACACAACTGATACTCTGATTTTGCACATTATTGCAGAAGAGTCTCCATTCCTTGATACGTTTCTAAATCTCGATGTTTATTTCCCAGTGCTTTTGCTTGCGATGTTATTCCCAAAAGGATCCCTTTCCAGGACTACCCCTTTGAAAACACTACATTGACCTATGATTTTTTTTTTTTTTTTTTTTTTTTTTTTTTTTTTGGTGGAAATGTTAAGGAAATATCTGCTGGTAAGTCAAGCTGATGTGTAAGCACTCAGGCATCTAGTAAAGACATTCACTGGAGGAAGATTTTCTATTATGATTATGGGCTTATTAGCAGCTGGAAAAACATTCTTGGGGGTCATAATCAAGAAAGGGATGGCTTCCTCTGTAAAATATCCCAGAACATTTCAAAGTCGTCCCAAACTGTCAAGATTTTCCAGTTGGTATTCACCAACTTCTTCTAAGGTACGTTTGTGCCTTCGTTTCCCTATTTCTAAAGGAAGAAAATGCTTCCCTGGCAGGGTTTTAAGTCTACGGGCTGGCAGCCTTTGACACACAGATTGGCTGACACAGATGTTGCCAAGAGACAGACTGACCAGCCACCCTGGCTCCCCATTAGTCTTTGCTTTTGCTCCCAAGGCAAAACAGGAAAAGGAAAGAAAAAATGGTGCCTTAGTTTTTTGTTGCACAGACGTTTCTATGCTCCACAGTTACCTGGACATAGGGCAGAACCTTGGGTTTTTAAGGAAACAAAACGTTAAAATGCAACTCATTTTGTATCCGCACCTTCGGAGGAAAGGACTCAGTTCTCCATCCAGTGAGCAGACTTCTCAGGGAACGGGGCAGGAAGTGTGGGGTAGGGAGACAGCTGGAAGGGGTGAGAAAAGAGATTGTGACGAAGTCATTTTAAATCTTAAAATATTATACAAGCATCACAAAATGAGGGTGTCAGGCATACAAGCTCTGGTCTCAGAAGAAAATAGAACTAAAGGAGAAGGGGACACGGAATGAAATTTAGGAAATTAAGTTTTTCAATTTCAAACACTTCTCCTCTCTGGCAAGTAAATTTACTTATGTCTGGTGTCTTTCCAGGCTGTTATTTTACACGAATATTTCTTTTAGATCTCACTAGGAAATCAATTTGGAAACTTTATATTTACAGTACGCTTAATAGTTCTTCAGTTATAATGATTGAAACTCATCAAGCCCACTCATGTACATTCTAGAAAGTAGAGTTTGTTGCTAAGATACATTATCATTTTCCCAGCGCCTAAAAACGTGTTCACAATGGAATGTCATTGAAAAATAAAACATCAACTCTTCAGTACAGAAGTAAGGATTTCAAACCAACAACTTTGCTCAGCGCTAGTATTTGTAAACTTCATCTTAACCTTGTAGATATTTACATATTTCTCAAGGAAGACAGAGTTCCCTGATTTATTTAGGCAATCTCAAAGAACCCCATCATTTCGTATGCCATCCAGAGATCACAGCAAAATCCAGAAGGCATTTTTTCCAGTTCCACAAAACCCTCTCTTTGCCTTCAGGTTTTACTCATTAGACAACAGTTCAAGTATAAACACAGATCAGCTATTTGATCTTAAGCAGTGAATTGTTGGAACAGCAATGTATTTAAGAGTATTCTATACTTTTAAACTTTTTCTATTTTGGAAGTAGAATGGAAAGTCAGATGCTTTTCCTTTGTTTTCACAATAACCACAAAAAGAAACAGAACCACCGTGATATACTGCTTCTCTGAGGTTTACTTCCCCTTTGTGAACCCATGAGGACTACAAAATTAACTTGGTGGGGGTGAGGGCCATGGGGTGGGGTAGGGAGGAAGCTTCAGAGAAGCAGAGTGTCAAATCCATGATTATAACATGTTTACATGTAGCAACTTTTTATATAGCATAAAAATTCAAAGCCAGTCTCAATTTAGAATGTCACGTCCCAGAATATGTTAGTTGTTTGGAAATCAGAATTCATTCTCCCATAGACTCTCTCTCATGAGATCCAAGGCTAGTTTATGAAAATAAATTTACCCCGTACTATGTGCAAACACTGCTCTGAGACTAGGACTCATTATAGGTTCGAAGAGTGAAAAAGTGAGAAAACGTGCATAGCTCTTTACCTACAATTTTGTAAGAGGGTTTTAGCCCTTTCCCATCATTATTCTATAGCCTACCCCGAGGCCCATATTGGTCTCAGCTCACCTTGATACTTCCCAGAGTATTTGCTGTTGTCAAGAGGACATCGCCGGAGACAAATAATCTCTAACAAATAGGACTTCAGGTCACAATGACGTCCGTCGACTTCAGGTCACAATGACGTCTGTCTTCTCCAGGAGTGGAGAGGAAAGGGAAATAATTAGGGACCCTCGGTAGATGAGTGGTCCCTTCCCTGTTTGGCCCCTCACACAATTCCAGTGTCTGGGCTTCTGCCTCTCTCCCTCTCTTCCTTCACTCCATCTCTCCCAAGGTCTCTGAAAGACCAAGGTCAAGACAGCCTTTGTGGCGAAAACAGTCATGACCATGTATTTACTGATCTAAGCAGAATAAGATTTTGCACGTCACTTTCAGTTGCCTGTATTTACTGCCCAAAGTGTGTTACCCTACGACTGAGACGTACTCTCTTTTTCTAATATTTTGGTAAAGTGTGCATCATGAAAATACCTAGAAAATTCAAAGTGTTTAGGAATTCCTGACAGCCAAGTAGACCACACGCATCATCAGATTTCTCCTTGCCATGAGGACATAGGTTTGATGGAGGGCCAGCCTCTCGCCTAGCTCTTGCCTCTCCTGATTAGCTTCTAAAAATGCTTAGGCTGCTTCCTTACACCATGTTGCCATCTCTCCCCTTATGATTATTTTCTAGCCTCCTCCATCAATATACAACTAGGGCACTTTCTACTATCTTTACGCTATGTAATGACCAAGGCAGATGCTAACCTATATAATGGCTCAGATTAAATTATTTTCAAACATGACAGAATATTAACCTAATTCAAAAGCACCTTTAAATGGAAACTTCTTGGTACAGTGTCACCAGGCTTTTAGTTCTTGTTGTTTCAAGGTTTATACAGAGCCCGTTGAGACCATCAAGTAGCCTTCACTGCAAGAACGTAATGCAATTATATGACAGAGATCCCTGACTTTCTCCAAATACATCACAGGGCTGCTTCTGCAAGAAGGTTTTCTTTCTCAGAAAAGAAAATCCATTTGTGTCCGCCCCATCAGACTAAGCGAGTGAAGACCTTAGTTTGGAGCCGGTAACAATTGCAAGAGGTTACAGACGACAGGGAGGAGGTGACATTTGTTGAATGCCACCGTGACCGGAGACCTGAACCTACATTACCCTTTAGCTCTCACGATAACCTTGTCAAACAGGTTCTGTTTTCCTCATTTTTTTCAGATGAGGACACAGACCCAGAGAGGTTAAGATATTTGCCCAAGATCACCAGTAAATGGCAACGTTGGTTGCAAAAGAGGTGTTCCTGAATTCAAAGGCCATGCTCTGTCTACAATACAATGCTCTAAGGACACAGAGTGAATACATGAGTGTTGCCAGGAATTAAACAGTGAAAATGAGTTGAAAGTATTTAATCGATGTCCCATATCTGCAATCCTAGGAGGATTTTTTCAAATAGGGTTTTAAAAACGTGTTCGTTCATAGAAAGATCACACATAATATAATGTTTTGGGGTGTTTGAAAATAAAATAAGGTCTGAACTTTAGTCTTAAAGCAGACCCTCAGTGGTAATTTAGAAAACTTGCCAAATTAGCCGGAAGTGATGGAATACTACTATTCGGGGCCAGCTGTTCTGCAGGTATGCATGGCAGTCTGTGTCCGGAAGGACATGCACGATTGGTAAACTTTTCTCAATTGCCGTTTAATCACTCAGAATCAAGTGCCCTGTAGCCAACAGTGCCTCTCGACTTGCTTCCCTGGGAAGTAGATGGCAGTAAAAGTCATCATCGAAGTTTGAGAATATGCAGAATCCGTTCTAACCAGTTTTCCACTGCACTCTCTGAAAAGGAAGCGACAGGTAGGACAAGATTGTTTAAAGATCCAGGTACTGAGGGCATCAGGTCAATATCCACCATGTGCCATATGCCTCAATATTTCTACATACTCTGCAGACAAGGAAACAGACGTAAGGAAAATCCAACATATGACATTAAGCGGGTGACAGAACTTGGATATGCATGGGTACCACTTAGGTGATCCTGGTGACATTTAGTGTGGCCTTAGAAAAAGCAAGAGACTCTCTTTAAGCACTTTTTATTGGGAAAAGGAGCTTGTTATGGGGCAAGATTTAATGAAATCAGTAAAGAACTCATAATTATGCTTCATCAAAAAAAAAAACTATGTTCATTCATAGTGGAACAATCTAGCAAATGGTCTCTCTCCTTTTATGAGATCCTCTTCCTCTGCTTATAATGTTTATATTTGATGTGGAAGTAACTAAAATTTTAATACAGAGTTTTGGACTAGAACACCATTTAGATTTCCAAAATACAATCATTGCTTCAGGGAAAACCAAAAAAAAAAAAATTATCCCGGGGGATAATTTATGAGAAGCTCAGTTGAGAACAATATTCAATTTCCTTGTTAACAATGGCACCTCTTACTAATTGAGGAAAATGCAATACAATACCACTAGCACCATATAAAACCTTTCCCCTGTATCTTTGTGTAATAATGCGTGAGGGTTCCAGGGAGGAGAGACTAGCTGACCATCTTAGTAACAAAATTACAGTCAGCTACTGGTGCATCCCATCCAGGTATGGTCCTTCCAGCTTGTCAACCACCAAGAATTGCTGCGTATTATTAGTTCCTATCCTAAAGTTTTTA